ATTAATCATTTTTATTGTGAAGGATATTAATCATGGATATTATCATCTTCATTATTTTAATTTTAAAGAAATAATGAAACAATTTCATTAAAATTTCATTAAGTAGTATATGAAAAAATTTCATAATCATATATGAAACAACTTCATCAAAAAAAGTATTATATGAAACAATTTCATGAAAAAAATTCATAAGATTACGACGGATGAGAGTAGTTTTTACGGTTTTTACAAATTGGAGTGGTTTTCATTTGATCGCTTCTTTATATATATATATATATATAACTCAAACAAAATAAAGCAGATGATAAATTTTTTTAGTTTTTAACTAAGTTGAATCTGGATAATGGAACGAGTATGGCAGAGGGGCCCAACTCAAACAACTCTTTTTTTAATCATACGTAAACACTAGAAATACTCTTAAGAGAGGAAAAAGCACAGGGGCCATGGCCCCTGCAAGCCTCTAACGCCATCCGTCACTGTTGGTAAGTGCTTGTTGGGTAAAAGATGGTTCTCGACGATCAATTTTGATGACAAATAATATTACCTGACAAAGTAAATGATTGTAGTGACTATTGTCAGTAAGCTTTTGGTAAACCCCCCATAAATCCAAGGTTCTAAAAGAAGTGAGACATGGTGTGGCGAGTGGCGACGGGCCAAGCTTCAAGCCTTAGGATCCATGTTTAAAGGTGTGATTTATAGAATGAAATTTCTATATATATATATATATATATATTCTACTATTACTCAATAAATTAATCATAATAAACAATTCAAATTAAGATATACATTAAAACTAGAAAATAAGATATTAAAAATGTAAAAAAATAATAAATAAATCAATCAAATATCGTGTTTCAAAAACCGCATATTAGGTCATGATGTGTCATAAGCTTAACGTGATGTCGTATAATAGTGTTGAGCGTTGGCGCCATGACAATTGTTTTGACAAGACTTTTAGAACGGTGACTAAATCCTTTCGTCATAAATAAGCGTCCATTTTCCAAAAATAAGTGCATACTTCCTCACTTTACTATTAATCGTATGGGTAAAAATGTCATTTTGTTTATTAAAAGTATAATCCTTACAATTTTTCAAAAAATGGACGTTTTTTTTCATTATGTACACTTATTTTAGGATTTAGGGAATCGTTTTTAGATAAATTTTTATTTCAAATAATGTACGTTACTAGAGAACAAGTTGGTATCAATTAACGTGTTGTTTGTTTTATGTCATGTCTTGTGTCCAAATGTGGTGTTTTGCTTATCACACGCCACGTTACATGCATGAGCACGACATGATGCTTATCAAGCATCATGTCTTTTTTACAGTTATATAGTATCACATCATGTGTATTGATCTGACATTTTACTTATCTTGCATCACGTTATGTGCATAGTCTAAAATGTTTTGACAAGTTTATTAAAAAAAGAGTGAATCACACTGGTAATCCCTATGGTTTGCTCAAAATTTGGACTTTGTCCCTAAAACAAATTATCTATACTGGTCGTCTATAACTTTTCATTTTCATAACACTCATGGTTCATTTACTTAACAATGTAAGTTAACAATTGTTATGAATGACTAATCGGTTTTGAACAAACCGTAGGGACCAAAAGTGTAATCTACTCTAAAATTTAATGTGATTGACGACTTTTTTTTTAATTTTTTTTATTAAACAAAGCAAATCGAGATAAAACAAAGAAAATCAAGATAAATCCATATATATATATATTTTGAGTTAGGAATTGAAATATGCGAAGAAAATATTGAAAATTAAGTTCGGTTAACATGAGATTATCAATATATAATCAAACTACAAATAATTAAAATAACAACAAAATAAAAATTATAAACTAAGATTAAAAAACACTGACAATTATAATATAAAGTATCGCATTAACAAATTTATTTCACACCATTTAAAAAGGTTTTCTATAAAAAAATTTGGTTTTAGGACGCTTAATTTTTCCAAATTTTTTTAGTGTCATATAAACCTAATTTTGTTATAGTGATAGTTTTTCTTAATTATTTGAACAATCAATGTTTTTTAATCTTAATTTATAATTTTTATTTTGTTGTTATTTAAATTATATGTAGTTTGATTATATATTAATAATCTCACGTCAACTGAACTTAATTTTTAATATTTTGCTCGCATATTTCAATTCACAACCTAAAAGATATATGAATTTATCTTGATTCCCTTTATTTTTTTTAAACTCGAGATTTTTTAACGTTAAAACTTTTAGTGAGTTTAATTTTTTAATAATATAAATTTTTGTATTTAATGTATACTTTATTTTTTGATTCGTATTTGGATATATAAATTTTTTTAATAAAAATTTAAAAAACCGGGAATTAAATTAAATTTTAGAGTAGACTACACTTTTGGTCCCTATAATTTGTTCAAGGACCAATTAGTTCTTTATAATGGCTGCTAACTTATATTGTTAAGTGAAGGGACAATGGATGTTATAAAAATGAAAAGTTATGGACCATCAGTGTAGATAGTTTGTTTTAGGGATCAAATCCAAAATTTAAGCAAATGATAGAATTCACCAGTGTAATTCACTCTTTAAAAAAACAACGAAAACACTGACGGATGAAAATAGTAAACAATGAAAATGAACAAGTTCGTGCTTTCTTTGAAATCAAATTCATTATTAAAATTACAAAAAAAGAAATTAAGTTGTGAAATCTACATCTATGGATTGACCAAACAACTTTAAAAAATTACGTCAATTGAGAGATATTTTTATCATTTTATCAATTTTTTTTTTATCTTTTTCTCAATCAAATCGATTATATAATTTTGGTCATTGTGGTCTTCGATTGGATAAAGAAAAAAAGACGAAAATATCTATCATTTAATGGAATTTTTAACGGTCATTAGAGAACGGGATCAAATCTGGACGTTTTTGTAAACCACGAAGGTTATCTTGTAATTTTAAATTATAGGGACAAAAAGTGTTATTTTTGACAAATCACAAGGATTAAATTTGTAGTTTAGTCTAAAATCTAGTATAACAAAAAAAAGAGTAAACTACAAAATTGGTCCGTGTGGTTTTGTCAAAAAGTACATTTTTTCCTTCAGGCAATTTAGAAATTACAAGATCTATTTTGTGGTTTGTAAAAATATCTGGATTTGGTTTCTTTCTTATCAGTGTTGAAATTTTTTCGTTAAATGATATGTATTTTCAGTATTTTTATTGTTTTTTTGTCTTTTACCCAATCAAAATCAATTTTCTTATCTTGGTCTCTATGATTTTGATTGTGAAAAAAAAATATCTACCATATATATATATATATATATATATATATATATATATTGATGAGATTAACATATTTGACACTAGTTTTTAGGCCAAATATCTACCAAAAATAATTTATTTAGTAACATCAATATAATTTAACCTTTATAAAAAGTATCAAAAGAATATTATTTTTATATACTATTCCACCATAAATATGTTTTTTGTTTGTTTACCTCTTAATATTCTTATTAAGAGACAATATCTGAATCGTTAAAATATGAATTTTGTTTGGCAAAAAAGAAATACGACATTTAATAGTTATAAAATAATTTGAATAATTATGCATCGTAGACTTTCCTTAACCATTCAGCATCTTAATTTCATTATAAATAATTATCAAAAAATTATATTTTATTTTACACTATGAGAACATCTTAATCATTCTGATCACTTGATCTTTCTTTGTGAAAACATCTAATAATTATCGATATACTATCTTATAAAGCAAATTTAACAAAAATATTAAAGTCTTAAAATAGTAAATGACCAAGATACCTTTTTAAAATTTTAATTTTACATTTACACTTTATACCCCTATAATTAGTTAATTAATTTACTTTACGTCATTTACTTTTAAATATTTTATTTTAAATCTTTATCAAATTAATATACATAATCGTATATCAATTAAAACATGTTTAAAAAATACATTTTTATTTTAACAAGTTACATCATTATAATCGTCTCGTTAATACCTTCGAAATGAGTTTAATATTGAATAGTTTTTGACTTAATTATATTATTATATATTATATATACTATGAAAAAATATTTTTAATATTTATGATTTATACTTTTATAGTTATTTATTTATATATATACTATATATTTTGGGGTTAGGCTGTCCAAATTGCACTGTATAATATATTCTGAATTAATATGTTCTTGGGTTTTTTTCAAAATATATATATATATATATACATGTATTAATTCAACCTTAATCTGAGTTTCTGGACAAAAAAGAGGGTAAACAGTTGAAATTTCATTCTAAAACCCATCTTTTTTGGTCTTTTCATGGCTTATGATCTGTCAAATTTTTAGTTTTCTTTATTGATTTTGAGTGTTTATCTTAAAACTCAAGTTTCTTGGTTCTTTGCTCTTGATGTAAATCGAACACATTTATGAAGTCGTTTAAATATGTTGAATTTTAAATATATTAGATTTTAAACTGTCATACAATTTTTTTTYCATCGATAGTCTGTAATTGGAACCATAACTCTTATTTATTCAAATTATATTAATATGTAAAGACCAAGTGTAACATATATTATCGTTAAATCTTATCTTATAAAATCAGTGAAACTTTAAAATCGTTAAAATTCATAGCTCCCGCCATATTATACAATAATTATCGAAGAGTCTGGAAGTCAATTATTAAAGTAGACCACCTTCTCCTTATTTTGAAAAGTTTTTAATATTAAAAAATAAAATTTAAAAATGTGAAAAATGAAATCCCATGAAATAAACAGCGAACGCTCCGCTGTTTTATTGGTGATACAGACCGCACAAAAATTTCAAACTTAAACCGTCAAATTTGTCTGCCCAAAAAAAATCAATCAGACATCCGAATCGGAAACCCCCAAAATCTGCTCCGATCTCCATCATTTTTATTGAACATTTACCCCCCAATTCCGATTCGATCTCTGGGATCCTTTGATGCCAGAGGTCGATTATATCACGCCCGGCATGGCTCCGTCGCCGGCGAATTCCTTATTCGGCAAGTATGAGGTCGGAAGACTTCTCGGCTGCGGCGCTTTCGCCAAGGTTTATTATGCCAGGGACATCAATACCGGCCACAGCGTCGCCATTAAGGTAATCAATAAGCATAAAATCGCTCATAACGCTAATCTCGTGTCGAACGTGAAGCGCGAGATCGATATCATGCGCCGACTCCGGCACCCGAACATCGTTAAATTGTATGAAGTTATGGCCACGAAGACGAAGATCTATTTCGTGATGGAGTTTGTGAAAGGTGGTGAGTTGTTCGCGAAGGTTGCCAAGGGTCGTCTATCTGAAGCACATAGCAGAAAGTACTTTCAACAATTGATCTCTGCCATTGGTTATTGTCATTCTCGTGGAGTTTACCACAGAGATCTGAAACCTGAGAATCTCTTAATCGATGAGAACGGAGATCTGAAGGTTTCGGATTTTGGATTGAGTGCTGTTACTGGACAGATCCGAGCCGATGGATTGTTGCACACGCTATGCGGCACGCCGTCGTACGTCGCTCCGGAGATCCTCACCAAGAGAGGATACGACGGAGCGAAGGCGGATATCTGGTCATGCGGTATCATTCTGTTCGTGTTGAACGCTGCTTACCTACCGTTCAACGATTCAAACCTCATGATGATGTATAAGAAGATCTACAAAGGCGAATATCGGTGCCCTAAATGGATGTCGCCGGATCTCAGGCGGTTCTTATCTCGTCTTCTGGACACTAAACCAGAGACCAGAATCACAATCGATGAGATCAAATCTGACCCGTGGTTCAAGAAAGGATATAAAGAAGTGAAGGTAGACGATCAACTAGAAATGGTCGTGAAGCCAGAAGATGATGATAAATCATTATCCTTAAACGCATTCGACATAATTTCGTTCTCCTCCGGTTTAAACCTCTCGCCGTTGTTTGACGGGACACTTAACTCCCCGGGACAAGCCGAAAGGCTGGTGATGTCCGAGTCGCCGGAAAAAGTCATCGAGAAAGTGGAGGAGATCGTGAAGGAGGCAAACGTGAGGTTAAAGAAGCGGAAGGAATGGGGTGTGGATTTGGTTGCCCAGAACGGTAAACATGTAATCGGATTGGAGGTTTTCCGGCTAACGGAAAGCTTAGTGGTGGTCCAGGTTGAAAGTACTGGCGGAGGTACGGATTTCTACGATGAGTTGTGGAAGAACAAAATTAGATCGGAGTTACTTGAACGGCGGGATGTACAGGTAGTCGAGAACTAGTGGTCGCCGGCGGCGGGCCACGTGTCGGGCGTAATGTACTTGATCATTTATAAACATATTTATTGACATCTTTTGTTTGTTTTTTAAAATAAATGTTATTTACCCTCTCGAGTCAAGAGTAAAAACGAGGGTAGGTGAACAAACATTTTTTTGATGGGCAACATAGTAATAATGATTTTGTACATAACATGAGAAATTGTAACGTCTTCATTTTGTGTTGTACAACCATTGTTTTATAAGGTTTATATAATAAAACAAAAAAGAAAAAAAATATTATCCGTAATGTGTTGTTTTGCTAAAAATTTACCTAATAAGTGTATATTTGATTACTTTACCTTATCGGATGAGGAAGACAATGATTCAGAATCTTACCTGCTAAGATGGATGACAAGAATCGATAGTCTTAGCTTGATAGTTGGTAGGTAAAAGTGACCACTATTACCTTGTAAACGCTTATAGGATAAAAATATAACATACCCAGTAAGCTAAATGAAGAACTTGAATATTACTGGTAATGTTTTTCGTGTAAGAGTCAAGTAAACGATCCCGTTTGTTTATAGGACATCGTAAATATGAACATTATTAACGTGGGTAAATTTTTATGATTTTAACTAGTTTTATTTTGTATATAAAACATCTTTGGGTTTTTCCCCAAGGTTATAACATTAATTATCAAAAATATATTTTTTAATACTTTTTCTAATATAGAAAAAATCATGAAAAAAAAGGAAAAAAAATCATAAATTTAATGTTAATAAAAAAAAAATTATAATTTTCTATTCTCTACTAATCAAATTGAATATATTTCCATTTAATTATAATTTATTTGGGTATTAGATCTATTTTAATATTTTAGTAACATAACTTTTTTACGATTATTAATTTTAAAAAGCTTATAGAAAATCTCTCGAAAATACTTTTAACATTAAAATATTCAATAAATTTTTTAATATATAATAAACTCTCTATAAAGTGGTACTTTTTTATTTTTTTCCTCCTTTAAATTAAGTAAAAAAAATATTTGATATATCTCATCTTTGCTTTTAAAAATTTAATTTTAAAGATTCTTTTCTCTTTTTTCTCCAAATATGAAGATATTTACTCACTTTCCACTTTTTTATTTATTTTAATGAATGTCTGAAAAATCTGTTATAGTAAAAAACCTGTAAAATTTTTAAAAATTAGATTTCGAGGATTCTATCAGAGATGCTTTGGCATCAACATCTTATTTTACATTTGATTTTTCCCCCGGTGTTATCAAGAAGAAATGAGCGTTAAAGTCTGTTTTGTTAGTAGCTTAAGTGATTGTTCGATATTGGCTTAACGGGATTAATAGCCATATGACTTATTCACTAAGCTATAAATGGTAGTTCCTTTTTGGCTTAATCATCAAGATGTGACTTAATCGGTCAGTAAAAATAGAGTCATATAGACTGAGCTATTTATTCAACCCTTCGTTTCCTCATTTGCCCTCCTCTTCTTATCTGCTACTCTCTTATACATCTCACAACACACCCTTTCTTCTTTCCTTCTTCCGCCCTTGCACCTATCTCCGATCACCAACTCTTCCACCAGAATTGCGTTTGATACCCTCCTCAGAAAGAAATAAAATGCTCTCCTTGAACTCGCTCTCCCTTTCTATCAAAGTATTTGGTATTCATTGATTTGTGAATTTATTTTAATTTGGGTTTTGCATAACCCATCTGTCGCCGTCTCCGGTTGGGTAAATAAAAACCTATACGCAAATTGCATCATACCAAGTCCTTTTATGTTGTAAATCCTTTGATTCTCTCTCCCTAAACGTCTTTTTCTTTTGTTTGGGTTAATTGATTTGGAAGTTCGTTTATTTGGTTTTTTGTTTGGTTTGGGGTTTTATTTATGTCTAACGCCTAAATAAACAAGGGCAAATATCATTTGTGATAAGAATCGTCACCTTCACTTACCGGGTAAAATTCATGATCCTTGTTTCGCTCTTACCGAGTAAGATTTTTGGTCCTTACCATATTCATCCGGTGAGGTAACTTGACTTGGTAAGTACTTGCCCGGATAAGTGTTTGGTAAACGGCCCCTTACTGCTTTTTAAATGAAAGGTTTATCGATATATATCTTTTATTAGAGTCAGATGAATCGTTGTCAAAAGAAAATGCATGTCTAGAGACATAGAAAGTGATGTTTCGATAAGTGAAGGAAACACATGACAAGTTCGGATAGCAACATTTGAAAACCCGTGATAAGTTATAAGATTTCACGCAAGACCCTCGACTTTAATATGTAACATATTAGGCTGACTTAATAAGATATTTTTCGCTTTGTTCACAGTTGGGTTCACGGTTTTAAAACGCGTCAGATAAAAGAAGTATTCAGTACTTTATAAGGCCATCTTAATTCCTTCTACAGTCGGGTGAATAAGTAATCATGACAACAAATTTGTTTAAAAATGTAAGCATAAAGCACACTTTGATTTATTGAGTTCAAGCAGTTTTCATCAAAAATATATAACATTAAAATTGAAAGACTGTTTATTAAATATAATTTATCAAATGGAATGTCTTTATCGTAAAAGCAACATAGTTTCAAAATCTATCATTTTCGTGATGAAAGCTCTAAATCAAAATACTCAATCGAATAACCCAAAATTATAAATTACGGATAACACTATGTACTCAAAACATCACAGGAAACAATGGATAAAATTCTAAACCAAAAACAACACATTTCGGTGAGTGGGATACCCGTATCCATCGAGTGTGGTGAACATATGAATAAACCACAAATAAACCTTAACGAGCCTGAACTAGAGATTATCAAGTTCAACCATCCACAATCTGTAGTTTAAGTCCTCCGTTAATTACCTAGGTGACTCTGTTAAGAGCAAGACCCTAATCCTAACCGGTCTTATCTAAACTTCATAGAAACCTATTATTGGTTAGGTCTAATACAGTTCATAATCAAAATCAAATCGATTTATCTATCATTCAAGCTTGAATGATACTATATATTAAATTTATATTATTCGAATCAAAGAAAACTCTAGTATGTAGTTGGTTCACGGTACAGTTTGGAATCGAGCCAGTTTACACCACTTTTTTCTAAAGTCGGGTGCGAGACAGAACTCAGCTAGGACCGAAGAGAGGATTGCCAACCGGATCGTTGATTTATATACATACTATACATTTATATTTCAAATTTAAAACTAACTTAAAAATTTATTTTTGTTAAAGATGTTTTATTATGACTTCTTTGTTGTCGAAACAAATAGTCAAGTAGTTCACGCTAACTCTTTTGGGTGTTGCGTCTGGGCTGTCCTCTAAGCATCTTTGGAAGGCAGGGGGTAACCATCACTTTTTCTAGAGATATTTATGGTAATTATCTACTAATTAACCTACCCAATTTATTGGTATATTGATAATGGTTTTTACAGTAACCATTTAATTTAGAAGCTGATATTTTTTTTTTTATCATTGTTGTTTTTGTCAATAATGAAATTGATTGTCAGAAGAAGGGACAAAATCCAAGACAAATTGCATACATGGAGATTCATTATTTGATACATGAAAGAAAATGGACCAAATCCATAACAATTCACAAACTATAAGGACCAAATCCGTAATTTACTCTTTTATTTTCATATAATTAAATAAAAGAAAAAATGGTAATGAAAAAGACAAAATATACCCTTGATATATAACGAAAATAAGAGCAAATTTAACAAAGTTAGCGCAAGAGATCAGTTATATAATGAAAATGAAACCACATGTATTCAATCCATAAGAAAATACAAATTGGAAGGACCTAATCCATAATTTTCTTATAAAACACAGGGACTGTATTAGTAGTAGTGATGACAAAAACTGATCACGGGTCGGGCTTGATCGGTCCCATGCTTTTTCATAACCGGTTATGGGCCATCGGTCCCGGCATTAAAAAATTAATTTTTTAAATGATATATATTTTTAATACATTATAAAATTACAATTGGGTCACTCAAGTACACTTTAAAAAATACGTTTTAATATAATTAAAATTACATTGTCTTATAAAAATACATTATAAATTATTTGAAAATACATTTATTTATAAAATTATTTTTGAATTTTTAGGTCGGACCGGGACGATCTATAACCGGTCCCAATCCCAGTCCCAATCCCGGTCCCAAGAAACTACCAAAAACCCCAATCGGTCCAGGCCGGGCCGATTTGGCCATCACAATTTAGTAGTTTGATGTTAAATTTATCCGTCAAGGGCCCAAACTAAGCCCACTTACCAAGCCTTTTCTGTGTTAAAATTGGGCCAAGCCCAAACAAATCACACAAGGGTTTCTGGCTGTCCAAAAACAAAAAGGAAAGAAAGAAAAGGGCATACGAGAACGAGTGAGAGAGAGAGAATAGTTCACAGTTTCCCGAAGAAACCAGGTTGATTACGCGGCAACACAATTCGGAAATGGAAGAAATGATTGCGAAATTAAACTTTCTGTAAGCAGAAATCACAACAGTGACACAAAGGAAGCTGATGAAATTCAATCTACCGAACACATAGGTCTGTCATTCCTCTTCAGTTCCATACACATTCCTACTTTTTCGTTTGAATGATTTTAGTAAACTGAAAACATTGTTGATTGTTCTGGTTTAGTGGTTGTTTCGTGAAGTGGTGAAGAATGTATCAAGAAACGAGCTCGAAGTATAGTAATCTTAAGAAAAGAGCAAAGTTCGCATTAGGGAAATCTGTCAATTCGTCTAGGGATAAAGTTAAAACCCTCGATTTTAAGAAAAAGGGGTTTGGAGGCAATGATAGGAGAGGTCAAAGTACAAGAGTTAAAACTGATAATATTGTCTCCAATGTTGAAGATGAATTCTTCAAGAGAAGTGGGAGGAGTGATAACATGAAGTCAAAGAATGATCGATTCCGAGGTGATCGAAGTAAAAGAGTTGTGACTGACAATGGATCCTCTGTTGATGGTAATTTGCATAAGAAAGACTTCAGGGGAAGAGGGTTGAAGTCGAATTATAGAGGTCGAAATGTAGGGGAAGTTCAGGGGAATGAAAGTAATGGTTTTGCAGGAAGAGATTTTGACCGGAAGAGAAAGAGGATTTATGCTAATAATGATAGCAATGGTGAAAGTAAGTTCCATAATAAGGCGAAGGTTCCGGTTGGAAAGGGTTTATCTCGAGCAAGATGGAATGCTGGTAAAGAGGACCTCGTTAAAGGCAATGAAACCGCAAGAAGGGGATCGCGTGCTTCTGCATCTCTTTCCCAAAATAGACATTCTAATGGAAGGGAAACGCCAGATGGAGGTGATAGACGAAAGAATACTGAACATCGTGAGAACAGGAGTGTTTTGTTGAGGAACAATGGAGAGGGAAAACACGAGACTAGCAAGCAGTTACGATTGAAGCAGACCGGTCCAGCCGAGGATAGTGAATTTGGAAAGAAGAAATTTCAAAACAAGAAGAACTTGGTTGATGATTCAGTGGCAATGTTTGATCGACCAAGGAGGAAGAGGCGAATAATGCGGATAGAATATCCAAATGATACTGCAAATAAGCGGTTTGATGATAGCATACCTGCCATTGGTTAGTATAAATATATCATGAATGTGTGATCATGTTTTCAATACTTGGCATATCATATATGATTCTAGTTACATATTATGATGAATGCAAATAAGTTCTGTGTTCTACATTTCGTTGCCACAAAATTCTTATGTTTTGTCATTACTGTCAGGTAATTTAAATGTTTGACTTAAAGGCTTGTGTGTTAGCAGTTTAATGAACCTAACGGAACTCACAGCTTATTCGGTCAACAATACATGACTGTTTGGTAGTGGCTTAATGATATAGAAAGTGGCTTATTTAGTAAGTTTTTGGAGGGGAGCTTTATGCAAAAAGTCAAGTTTTTTAAAATCCTGCCCCTTTAGGTTAAGAAACACTCCGCTTTCATTTATTAAAAAACCTCTCCCAAATAAAAACTCTCTCAATCTATACAGACAGATTAATCCACACATATATCTTTATCCATACAAGACTTAATGGAAAATCAACCAAACAGCCCCTCCTCGCTCACATACCATCCTATTTCTCGAGTAAAATTCATGGGTCTGTCAATATACTCAATTTTCTGGTTGCTTGCTTTTCAGATAATACCACAGAGCAAAAGGAAGATTCAGATAACGAAGAAAATACTGAATTGTCCAAAAATGCACAGTTTCGGGCAATACAACCAAGCCCTTCTATCATATCATTTGTGGAGGAAAATGTAATTTGGCTTGGTTGGACCTTTGTTATAAGTTTGATTTATATTGCTATCTTAACCTACTTACCTTGTCTTGTTATTCTTGGCTATTTATCATTGCAGATATTGGGGCGTCGGCGTGAAATTGAGTTCAGAAAGGCGGGATATAATATTGAACTTTCTTCCCCTTTAGATAATATTCCCTTTTCTACAAGCTCAGAAAGAGAGCGAATCGAAGAATCAGTAAGCTTTCATTTGTTTACTTTTTGAGCTAAACGAATTGCATATGAAGAATGTATAAACAGTTTTCAGTAGTTTTTCTTAAAAGGGCATGTTTGTTAGCAGCTTAATGGGACTCAACTTATTCGGTCAGCTATACATGACTGTTTGGTAGTGGCTTAATGATATAGAAAGTGGCTTATTCAGTAAGATTCTAGGGGGAGCTTTATGCAGAAATCCAAGTTTTTTCCAAACTTGTCCCTCCCTATTAAAAAACCCGTTCCTTCCATCTATCAAAAACCCTCCCAAACAAAAACCTTCGCAATCTATATAGATAGATTAATCCATACTGATAGCTTTACCCATACAAAACTTGATGAAAGCCAACCAAACAGCTCCCAAGTTGTTTTTGCCATCCTTGCATATGTCAATGGGGCCTGAATATCTTTTGCAGGTTTTCAGGAATAAACTGGCATTCTTCGCTGCTGCAAAAGTTTCTTCATCTTTTCCATCTCCCGATCTTCCAGAAATTGCTTTTGCTGGTAAAAATCTTCATTCAATTTTTTTTTTCTGTGACATTGAGGGCCGTTTCCGAAACGCTTACCCGGTAAGCGCTTACCAAGTCACGTTACCTTACCAATGAACATTGAAAGGAACTAAAATCTTACCCGGTAAGAGCGATGGGAAGGATTGAGAGTCTTACCCGGTAAGTGAGGGTGACGACTCTTACCCTATTAGCACTTACTGGGCAAATTGCTGCATACGATGCCATTTTGATGCACTAAAATCTTACTTGGCAAGGTAAGTGGTGGTGTTGAATCTTACCAGGAACCCTTACTGGGTAAGTGTTTGGGTGAACGGCCCCTAAGTTATTTTCTAATAGGATTTTTTGAACTTTTATGCTAGATATCTGCGAATAACGTTAATAGGCATTTTGACTTGATTACTTTTGGAAATACATTCTAATTGTTTTACATGAACTTTAAATACCCGCATCAATATGTAAGAAGTATAAAGTGTATTCAGAAACTCCCTCAATTAATTCTTTTACACTCATTCATACTTTGTCAACTAGCTTATCAACTAGTTTTTACCAACCATTACTAGTTTACTAGTATCACCCAGCTGGCTTATCAGCAACATCTAGCTTATCAGCTAGTTTGCCGGACATAGCTTATATTCTAGGTTTCCTGTCTGTTTGACATAAATTTCCTAAATATTGTGGCTTAAATTTTGATTTCTTATTAGGTAGGTCAAACGTCGGGAAATCATCTTTGCTAAACTCACTTACCAGACAATGGGGTGTTGTACGAACGTCTGACAAGCCTGGTCTCACTCAGGTGCTACATCATCTTTCTTGCTCAAAATTTGTCTTTTTGTACACCTTTTCCAGATAATTCACCAAGACCACACCAAATCAAACAAACCCAGAGTGGTGATGCATCATCCCTGGAAACCGTTCTAGATATTGTCTGTTTTGTCAACACCTGGACTCATTGTTTTAAAACATGTTTGATAGAGGAAGGCAACCTTCGTTCCCCTCCCCAACCGATTAGGGTCTCACAATTTTCCTTACATAATGGTTTTAGCATGACTTATATATATGTTTGAAGATGAGAATTATAAGGTTGTCTTATAAGAGACTCGATACCTCCTCTACCAGACACGTTTTAAAAGCGGACAATATCTGGTACGCTTAGCCTGAGATGTTACAAGTGAGATGTACGCTGACGTCACCTCCACCCCGTAGAGTAGAGTAAGTTGCGAAATAATTTAAAAGTACAAAAACATTGATGCTCATGAAATCTTGTGCAGACTATCAACTTTTTCAACCTTGGATCAAAGCTCTGCTTAGTTGATCTGCCTGGATATGGTTTTGCTTATGCAAAAGAAGAAGTCAAAGAATCGTGGGAAGAACTTGTAAGCGTGATAAGAATTGTTTAGTGATTGTATAATTACTTGTCGTTTCATAATATTGTTGCCATTTCGTTGGAAAACTAGTTGGTCTGTTTGACTTATTGGTAATTTGTAGGTGAAAGAGTATGTATCCACCCGTGAAGGCCTTAAACGAGTATGCCTTCTCATCGACACAAAATGGGGTATGAAGCCAAGGGATCATGAACTCGTTGATTTAATGGAAAAGTAAGTATACCGACTCTGCTCTATACCTGCAAGTCAATTTGATTGAAATCTTGATCGACACTGCATTTGGACCACGTGCAATAAGATCTGGGATTTTTTAATTTTAATTTTGTGGGTCCCATTTATACGAAGAAATAAAGATTTGGTATCGGCTCTCACTTGATGCCAAGAGGAAATGAAAATGGGACACCTTTTAATCAAGAAATGTGGTATAAGTGAATGGAACCTAACCCTTAAAAACTGATCATATATACATATATTCATGTAATAAACCAAACCATACGAGTCCGGTATATCCCAGAGGCGGGCCCCGGGGAATGTAAGTAGATTTGTTCTCTGTCCTGACGAGTAGAGCGACTGTTTTCTGTTAGAAGTTAATATGTTTCTTGTTGTTTTGAATCTCGCCAGGTCTAAAACCAAATACCAGATAGTATTGACGAAAACAGATTTGGTATTCCCCATAGATGTGGCTAGACGCGCAATGCAAATCGAGGAGGTAAAATGCACTTGCTTATACTTGCAAGGTTTTTAGGTCTCTTTCTATGACAGAATTGATTTAACGGATACAATTCATCTGATCGTACAGAGCCTCAAAACGAAGAAATCCGCTGTTCAACCCTTGGTAACGATAGCAATAATGTTGATCTTATATTTATAGTCTGATTCCCAAAAACAACACGAGTTTATTCGGCTTTCGTTTGATTGCAGATGATGGTTAGCTCGAAAACTGGAGCTGGGATACGAAGTTTAAGAACCGTGCTTTCTAATATATCTCGCTTCGCCCGACTCTAGCGGTATTTAGCCATTTTCTTTTTCAAGTTACTGCTATAATTACGTATAAACAACACATCATCTTCTAGTTAAAACTGATTACAATTTTGTTGCTATTTCGTTTCACTTTGGTTCCTTAAACTCTAGTTGATTAGGTTAGTTAGCTTTAAGGGTATTTTGGTCCTTTGAGCTTTTATTTTTGTTTTATTAGTTATAGAGTAAATTATGATTTTTGTTTTATTATTATTATTACTGATCTTGAAAAAAGAAGTTATTCCTGAATTAGAATCAGTTAGTTTGTCAAACATAGCCTTAAACATTGTTTATGTAACATAAAAGTTAAAGTTACATTTGTTTTGTTGCATAATAAAAATATGTTAAATAATTTGAATAAAATATTTAATTTAATTATTTTTTTTTTTTGAAACATTATTAATTAATTAGGATATGCTAGATAGACCATTTTTATTTTTATTCATATTATATGTAATGGTTATTTAAAATCATAAATAATAAGTTTTTTTCTTAAAATTGTTTAAACAAATCCATATATTATAATGTATATCATAATCAATTTAAAATTCTTTTGATCGATATAATATATATTTTTTAATTTTTTTAGCATCATGTTTGTATTAGTTAATGTATTATATTTATTATTATATTTTGAAATATTATAATTGATTAATTTTTCAAAATGCTCTTTTGGCCATTTTACATAATTAATTTTACCAAACATGATTTGTTCATCAGCCAACCAGCTAGTTTGCCAAACATAGTCTAAGCTACATAGTTGGTGTATGTGATTTGGTAGTTATAGGGTTTAGTTTGAATATTGATTTAGGTTCGAGGTTTGTATCATGGATTTTACGTCTGAGCTTGTATCTTGGTTTTGTATGTTAGAGTTTGAAAAACGAAAAACGTAAATGGGGTCCATGGAGGTGCAGGAACAATGGATTCTCTATAACTGTTAAAAGCTCTAAGATGGGTTCTCCATAACTGTCGAATGAGTTTTCAAAATGCAGATGAGATTCTTCTCCAACATATTTGGAACCAAAATTACGTTGGTGTAATAAAGAAAAATGGAGGATTTTGAACTTTGGAGGCAAAGATGACCAAAACCGTTGTGGATTTAAGGTAATGGCGGTTTTTGCTTACCACAATGGCGAATTTGTAATTCCAAAACTGTAGGGACCAAATTTGTAGTTTCTCTTTACTCTATAATCTAATATAACCAAAAGAGAAAACGAAAAAAGGTAAAAGGACCATAATATTCATAAATTTAACTATTTTTAATTAGAGTTAGTAAGAGGGACGAAACGTGAAACAAAATGATAACTACAGTGATCAAAACTGTAATTAGTTTTAAAGAGGGACTAAACTTGATAATGAGCGGAAACCTCATGGTCCAAAAATGCAATTTACTCTCATCATTAATGTAATAATGTTAGGCACAGGTAGTAAAGCGAATAGATCAAAGTAGCTTATGATTGATTAGTCATCAGTTATATGTTTGGTACTTAGTTGTAATCAACTATGTTTATGTTTGGTAATTAGTTGTAATCAACTATGTTATTAATTATTATGCATTGTTTAACGCTATGTTTACAAAAGGTTTACTCATATAAATATTTATCAAGTCATATTAATTTATTAGATGAATATGGTGAGGATCAAGAATCTTCCTCGGTAAAAAGGAGACAAGGACCAAAAGTCTTACCCGGTAAGCGAAGGCGCGTTACCACGGTAAGCGCTTACCAGGTAAATTGTTGCATACGATACCGTTTTAGTGGACTAAAATCTTATTGGATAAGTAAATGATAGTGTTAATTTTACCGGTAAACGTTTATCAAATAAGTGTTTGATAAACAGCCCCTTAGTATTTTATGAACTCGCTAATCTTTATCAAGTTAACCCATATTGTGTGTCTCAGGAGGCATTAATATGAGAATTATTAAGGGTTACTCTATTTTAGTAATTCTATCATTAATAATATTAATAAAATATTCAATACATTTAATAAAATATTATATCTCTCTCCTACACATTTTACTTCAATAACTTTAATTGGTTGGATATAATTAAAATATTATTTTCTCTCTCAGGTTCCTCCAGACATGTTCTAGGATTGATGCACTAATTCCCCCTTCTTCTTCCCCATGACACCACTAGCACGAACCATGTTGGACCGTTGCTTCTTCTTCTTTACTTGTATTTCTTGTTGTTCTTCTTTGTCAATTAGGTTTGATTTCGTGTTGATTCCTCCGGTTTTATCCCCTATCATCTACACCAGTTGGAGTTTTTAGGGCTTGGAACGGTTTTTGTTGAATTTGGGGTTCAAAATGTTGATAAAGGGTAGTGTTTCGTTGAATTTGGAACTCAAAACCGAACTTCGTTTCTGAAGTTCCACCGTTGTTGCTCTTCAAGTACAGTCGTTCACATACATGATGACCCAAATAGACCAGATATGTCTGATTTGTTAGAATTGCATACCAGGACAATCATTCTCGAAAGAATAGGCGAAACTAAACTAGCTAGATAATATAAATGGACACAATGAGCCGATGCAAAAAGTCATTTTTGTACAAGTCCACCTAACATGTTATATTTTTATAATCAATACTTGATAGTTTTTAAAAAAATTATATATTTTAGAATGCAGGTTTAGGGTTGAATGCGGGTTTAGGGTTTCAACCCTAAACTTTTAAACAACGAAAGCCTCCCATTTTCCTTCGAATATCAACTATCAACCCTTAGCTGACGTTAATCTCTTGATTTACGCAGATTTTTTTTAACTTTGCATGATTTTACATAACTTATGATTTAATATAGATTCTTTTTCTAAGAATGGTAAAGGAAAACCTTTTAGACCTCTTAATGGGAATCGACTAATCACAGAGCGACCACCTGCTTTGCAGGTAGCTTGAAATCACCGCATTTTAACCTCCGTGACCACAAGGGGATTTTTATTTCTCCTTGGATTTGAACTTGAAACTTCCAGACATTTTTGACCTTTCGAGCCCAAACTCAAATCAATCAGACAGAACCCTTTTAATTGTATGGTTACCCTGTTGGGATAATTAGGTATATGGTATTGTACTTGTTTCTTGAATGTACATCAAGCTTGTTTTAAGCTTTCTAATCTAAACCTTCGGTATTCCATCATACGAACAAATGATCTTCGCCAATTTGTTATCTTGGATCTTAATGTTTGTTTGCGCTTTGCTAGCAAATTGCTTACTTTTTTTTTTTCTTTTCCAAAGTATGGAATTACTACGCTTTTTAAGACCCTTGCTTCTACTTGATTTAATTGGAACCTAAATGAAACCAACCAGTGGGGGATCCAGAAAATTTGGTGTCTGATTACTCAAATCCATCTTCACTCGTAACATTGGCAAGTGCTTATTTTCTACAACACAAATTGAAAGAGCATACAAAACAAAATCACCGATCCAACTGCTCAAATCTAACTTCGTAAGCTTCTTGCAAAGAAACGACTCTCAGTTGTTCCAGGTAAACCAAATGCTAACTTCATGCCGCATAAGATGTTTCCTTATTCCATCATCACTCTAGCAAAGGTCCGATATAACGTTAACAAAATAGTTGGTAAACATATATAATTTTAACATGAAACCCTAACTCTATAAACTTGTTTATAACATTAAGACAAACACCTATAAGCATATACTTAATTACTTACACCAATTAGTATTAGACGAAAGATTGTGTGAGAAGATAAGTTATGGTGAGAAATGTAAGAATAGATGTGAACTTTTGATCACTTTTAATCCCATACCCATCCATGAATTGCGTTTTAGAAGAGAATTGATCTAGTGCATCTCGTTGAAGTCATTAGTGTTGACATTCAATTAGGATTAATCCAAGGGTGGAGATTTCTTCTCACGCTTCTCACCATAAATAATTTTTTAAACAAATATTTATAAAATATCTGAAAACAAATAAAACAAAAGGCAAAGATCTAAAAACAAGTAATTAAGGGGTGTTTGGGATTTGCTTATTTGAAACAACTTATGCTTTTTTGCAAAAGTCTTTATCAACTTATTATAAGTTAGAATGATTTAACTTCTTCAAAAACTTCTTATTACCGGTTTGGCACCGGTATAAGCCGTTTATCCAAACACTCAAAAGTGCTTATTACCGATGTCACACTGGAATAAATCAATAAGTTGTTTTTTATAAGCAATCCCAAATTACCCCAAATCCGTAAGGATTTGCAAACCAGAGTCATTGCAAGTATAAAAAACGAACAATCGGGATGAATATGTAATTTCTGACAAACCATAGGGACCAGATGTGTAGTTTACTCCAAAGTGAAGAAAATTGAAAAAAGGAAATGACGAAGGGATCAACCTGTGGCCTGAATCTCATTCAACCAAGAATTCCTGAAAATCACTTTCTCTCTCTAAAAACTACGTCTTCTAGAGAGAGAAATAGAATGTGTCCTTTACGCATTATTCTCATCTTTCTGTCGGCGACTCTTGCCGGATTCTTCGTTCTCCGGAACTTCAAATCTCAATCCAATTTTTCCGACACCGACGAAGATTCTACCGCCTCCAAATCGTCACCGGATTCCTCCTCTTCCTGCGTCGGGTGGTCATCCTCTAAGGTTTTTTTGTTTGTTAATGTTTCTAGGGTATTCGTTTCTGGTTTGTAGGATATTAGCGGAAGGATTACGAATATGCCCAAATGTGTGTTGTTTATATGTTAATTGCAGGTTTATGGTGCTTTTGTGAATGGATTTTGGACTTGTGTTGACATGGCGAGTGGACGTTATCTATGGAGAAACCTAGTTTCTGCAAAACAATCGGATTAATCTTCTGGTTCTGTGAGTTTTGTTTCTCTTTGGTGATTAATTAATCGATTAATTTGCTTTTTTTTATGTATCTAATTGGAGTCATTGTTGAATTGGGGGGAAAGTTCGTTTTCATAAATCGATGGTAGTTATCGCTCTTTCGTCAAAATTGATTCCTTCTAGTGATTACTAGTTTCTGATTTAGTAGGAAAAGAGTCATGCGGTGAAGTACAATATAAGCATTCAAGAACTTTAAATGCATGGACGGTACAACTAACTATTAGTTGTGATTTCTGGTACTACTAGAATCTTGAATAGAGATCCTTTATGAGAAACTGAGGCCTATTGTAGTGCATTTGTTCTAATCTGCAGTTGTTATTGGAGTGGACATGGGAGAGGATCCTTGACTCCTTGTGCCCCTGGTTATAAAGTTGTCACGAACATGGTGTTGTTGGATCTTCGTAACTTCTATAGTTTCCTATGATGATTTTGTTTCCTTGCTTTAGTTGTCAATTCTACAAAAAATCAAATTCTTTGAAATATTAGGTAAGTTGGAGCATTTAATCCTGTAATCTGTGTGAGGCGAGTGTGGTATATGAACATAGATTGGTCGACTAATTAATCACCCAATTGAACCCGCTAACATAGAAAGGCTTATGATGATTGTAGCAGTCATATTGTGCACAATTAGTTGAAATATAGCTTTCGGGTATTGAAGTTCTAGACATCAGCCTGCATTCTTTGCAAGAATGCATCAATCAACGAGACCCATTTTTGATTTTCACATTTGAACGAACTTCCATCTTTTGGATCTTTGGCATGCTATTATCGACTCATCCTTCTCTTTCTTGATCTGGGAATTGGTGTTATGTGATCTTCTGTTGAGGTATGACCGTATAATGATAATGGTTCACTGTTAATTGATGGATGCCTTAAAGAATGTTGTGGTAATTCAGATGTTAATTTTTGGATAGATGTAGTACTTTTAAACCATCATGCATTGAATATTTTGAGTTAGGTGAAATGTCAAACATTTAGCAACTTGCGTATCGCTCCGTCTTTCTTTTGGAACCGTTAATTTTATCATCAGAATATTTCAAATTTGCAGGTTTTACGCTCATGTGGATGTGGGTTTCCTTTTCTTTGTATAGGGTGGAACTCGAGTGGATACGAACATCCGTTTTGATCATCCTTTGTTGTATTTCCAGAGGAATATACGATCAACATATCCAGGGTATAATAATCAGAGTCTTGTTTTCTTTCTGTAGCGTTTCAAAGCTGTAAAATGTTAAGAAACTGCCTTTAGATGCTTGGATTTCACATTTTAATATTTGTAAATTCTACCGTTTTACGTGAATTCTTGGCGAGTTTTCTGTTAAATAATCGAAACTTACGACTATGTATAATTGATACCTTGCTCTGGAGTTCAAGTTCATGCTTTGTATGTGTTGCAATTTTATGAGTAAGAGCCTCGTTGCAACTTGTATTGTCAAGATCGGGAAAGTTAATACCCATTTTGTATTAAATGACGTAGTAATAACGGTATCGAGTCGATATAGGTGGATTTGGTTTATTTGAACCAATTATGGATTTGGTTTATTTGAACCAATTACACTAAACACTAACGTTCGTTTATCAAACACTTATAGGGTTCCTCTACGTACCTTGTGGGGTAATATTATTGGTCATCAAAATGGATTGTTGGTAAGCGTATTTTATTTACTAAGTAAGATTCTCGCTCCATACTATGCCCCTTATTAGATAATTTTTTTATCTTTGCTACGCTCACACGATAAGCTAAGGGGCGTTTATCAAACCCTTACTGAGTAAGCGCTTACGACAAAAGTCGTCACCCTCATTTACCTTATCGTGTAGCATTTTTGGCCATAAAAATGGATTGTCTGTAAGTTTCTTTTACCCGGTAAGCGTCCCTCACTTACAATCCATTTTAGGGATTGGTGACTTACCCATTCAGCGACTTTGGTATTGGACGTTTCCCAAACGGGTGCTGAGTCTCGCCGGTTTAACTAGGACTGCAATTGTGGAATTTCTACACGAATAGGAGTAAAATTGTTGATCTTTGTTATGTCTCTACTCATTTACTCATCATACATGTCAACATCATACACATCAATGAGGAGTGCTAATAGCACCCTTTAATGGAGGTGTTGAATGCTTAAAAAATATCAAATCAATTAAATAATATATTATATTTAATTATCATTATTATTTTATATACATATATTAATAAAATTATATTGTATAATTATCATTCTCTCTCTCTATATATATGTGTGTTTTTTTTTTATATTTTACACAATATTATAAGGGGCAATGATAATTCCTAACTGAGAAGTCACCACGAGACGAGCATAAGGATTTCGGTTATAGTTTCCCGTGCGATGGTCCAAGACCCTGAATCTAGAGCCACTTGGCCTTCCAATCCAGTTCCAACAATGCACTTCTCGGACTATAATATTTTTTATTTATATTATTTATATATTGATTTTATTATCTTCATTTTTATTATACATACATGCATAAACACACACACACACATATATATATATATACATATATATATATATATTTATTTATGATTAATTATTTATTTTAATGAATGAGATATTTATAGAAACCATTTGTATTGAATTTAAATAAGAGAAAAGTTCAGAAAACCAAAGAGTTTGTTCCATTTTGAAATATTAAGTTCTTGAATTTTTTTTATTGAACAAGTCGTTGAACTTTTTTTTATGTTGAATGATTAAGTCGTTGCATTTTTTTATTGATTAAATAATTAAACTTTTTAAAAATTTGGTTACTTAAATTATTTTAACCTACAAAAACTACTTGTATTGTTGTTACATGTTGTAGAAGTGAGATAATCAAAAGATATTTTGATCATTTTTTTGCCTTGCCATTAATGCCCCTCTTTCTTTTTTTCTTTTTTTATATCATTTTTTTTTATTCTTCTTTCTTGATTTATATATATATATATATATATATTCCACTATATTGTTGTATAAGAAAAAGAATCGAAAAACAAAAAAACAGATAAAAAGAAAATATGCATTTATTAATAATTCATATTAATTAAAATATAATGAAATAAAACAATAAAAGAATAGAAAATCAATAACTTATATTAATTAAAATTTCCTTAAAATAAAACAAAAGATAAAAACAACAAAACACAAAAAAAAAAAAAAACAACAACAATTAAAGTAGAGTTAGGGATGCCAATAACAATCGATAGGGGTGTAATTAGCTTCCCCGTTAACAATACACTGATGTATATCAACATCGTGACATTTTGGTAACATTCATACGTTTTTTTGTTGAATGTGATGTTTATTTTCCATTTCTACAAAATAGAATAGTTGTTACATTCGTATTGTTTACTATTTTTACCGTTTATGCTTATATCTTGGTAGGATAGATTTAAGTTATCGCACGATCTTTAACTTCACTTATGGGTTTGCTATTTTTAAATGTCTAATTTTCAGTGTTTTTATTTGAATGTGGGTCGGTTTAAACTTATAATAATAGAAAACGAAAAGAAAAAGGATCGACAAGGATGGCCAAAATGGTTAGGAACTCTTTGTATGCAAGATCTAACTCAAACTTTAGACTTAGTTTTTTTTACTGAAAAAGAATATTATTTCATCTTTTTTCCTGTTTACTAACATAAAGTGGGTAAGTGCTTACTAAGTAAGGTTCTCGGTCCTTAAAATGACATGGCATAGACACTGTTCATGTATTAACAGTTCTTGAATGTTTACTTTGTACTTCACCGTGATGACTCACAGAAGGAGAATATTTTAACAAAGGAACCCCCCCCCCCCTCAACGATGATTCTAACTAAATAGATGTAACAACGAACTAATTGATTAATTAATAACCAAAGAGAAAGGAAACTCACAGAACCAGAAGATTGTTCAGATTGTTTTGAAGCAGAAACTAGGTTTCTCCATAGATAATGTCCACTCGTCATGTCAACGCAAGTCCAAAGTCCATTGACAAAAGCACCATAAACCTGCAATTAACATATAAACAATACACATTTGTGTGTATTGTAATCCTTCTGTTAATATCCTACAAAACAAAAACAAAGACCCTAGAAATATAATACATAAAAAACCCCTGGAGGATGACAACCCAACATAGGTGGAGGAAGGATCCGGTGATGATTTGGAGGAGATAGAATCTTTGTCGGTGTCAGAAGATTTGGATTGAGATTTGAAGTTCCGCAGAACGAAGAATTCAGAAAGATTTGTCGACAGAAAGATGAGAGTAACGTATAAAGGACACCCCTTATTTCTTTTTTCTGGAATACATTTTTAGAGTGTAATTTTCTGGGATTTGGTTGAATGAGATTCATGCGACAAGTTTAGTGATGGTTTATCCCTTGGTCATTTCGTTTTCTGCAATGGTTTGTCAGAAATTACGTATTTATCTGAGTAGATTGACGACATAGACAGTTCAGAAGCGGCAACAAGCAATGGCGACATATGAGTAATCAAAAACCCACATAATGCAATTTACCTTTTTTTATTTATTATTTTTTCTTCTTTTTATTCGATTTGTTTAAAATGGTTGAAAATCTTCAAGTTTTAAGCATATCTATTAATTATGGGCCTAATCGGAAGGATGGTGGGTGTGGGTCGTCAACCCTTAGATGGGCCAAACCATTTATAATGGGCCGTAAAAGCATTCAAATTCAAGGCTATAAAGAACCGGGTTCGAGAAACCCGTTGTGATATTGCGAGCCGATACTGGACCGGTAAGATAAATATTGGTCAAAAGTCAAAACTCAAAAACCGCAACGGTCGGATTTTCTTACGAGGGTGAGGGTGGGTGAAGGAGAGAGCGAGAGAGGATGGGGAAACGAAAGGGGCGTCGATCGGAGGTCACAGAAACCCTAACTAATTCTAATGGGGGAGGAGGAGAAGATGAAGACAGAAATGGAAGATCACAGGATTCAGAAGACGGCGAGAAATCAGGATTCTTCGCTTGTTATTTGTTGACGTCACTCTGCCCTAGATTCAAAGGACACACCTACATCGGGTAATTTTCTTCATTCCTTTCAATCTGTAGGGTTTTGTTTTCGTAATTATCATGAATTACGATTCTCAATCGCCATTAGATCTATGATTCCACGATAATTAGCAATCCACACACTATCTAATATGTGGAGTTTATATATGCTCTAAAAGATCGATAAATTAGAATCGTTTTTTAGTCTTCTGTTTCCATTCAATTTCTAATCACAGCTCTTAATAATCATCTTATCTACGTCATGAATTTTTCAAGTACCTGATCGGTTTGGTATGCTGATGAATTTTTGAAGCTAATTGGTCATGCCTTACAAAACTCTTTGTACGTTACCTAATATGTCCCAAGCACTTCGTTAACTTTTCAAATCAGTCAAATCTTTCTTTTACAAAAATTCTATGAAGCCGGAAACAGTCTCTATACTCCCTTGGGATAGTGGTAAGGTTGTGTATATTCTATCCCTCCAGACGCTATGCTGGTTTGGTTTGATTTTACCAACGATCAAATTGGACCGCAACAAATAACCCCAAGCATCAACGTCTAACTAATACGACAACCAAACTCTTCACATGACACAAACTTGATATGACGAGGAAGCATGGACACTAGCCCAAGTATAACTGAACCAAAGCCAAGCTGAACTAAACTGAGCTGAACTCTAACCACACCATCGATTACAAGTTCCATGACTTAAAAGGCTATTATCTTGGATTAGTTTAGACTGGTTGCCTGAAATGTATTTTTTGGTGCTCATTTTCTAGGTTCACGGTGAATCCACGGCGGAGAATTAGGCAACATAATGGGGAATTGTGCAGTGGTGCATCGAGGACCAAGAAAAAACGCCCTTGGGAAATGGTATTCTGCATATATGGTTTCCCTACTAATGTTGCTGCCCTTCAGGTATCATCAAACATCTAGCAACTCAAAATAACACCACTTTAGGACATGATTCTGCTATTGCTTAGTGAAATATCTAAAATGTTACTGCTTTCCAATGTATCTAGTGACTTGATAACTTGGTAGATAACAGGTTTAAATAGAAAAAACTAAAGTTAATTGCATAAAAATACATTGGGACTTCGCTGAGGGACCTTTTCAACATAGCGGTGGTGAAACCCTGTTCACTCATCATGAAGATCTAGTCTCTTTGTGTCGTGACATAATTGTTCTTTGATGTTCTTGAATGGCATATACTTCCTACTGAAGTATACAATATTTTTACACCGCAAAAACTCACACACACACTCATCACCTTTAGAAAGGCTTGAATCTTTGACCTCCAGGAAAGTTGGGATCTACAGGTAACCAGGTACTGCTGGGCCAATGATGGTTTTTGTTACTGCCCTCTGAAGGTCTAGGTTTAGGATTTCTTTGAATTGTTGCTGTTCCATTTGTTTATAATCTGGGTCAATTGGTGCAGTTCGAGTGGGCTTGGCAACACCCTGTAGAATCGTTGGCTGTTAGAAAAGCGGCAGTGGGTTTTAGATCGCTGGGCGGACTTGCAAATAAAATCAAACTGGCATACACAATGCTCACCCTGCCGGCCTGGAACAAGTATGTATAGTGGTTTTGGTCTCTTTTAAAATGCATCAAAAAGCAATGAAGTTTGTTTAAGTTCCTATTTAGTATGACGAAGTATTTTCTTTGCTCGATTAATGTAACAAAGTTTCAAAATTTTATATTTTGTACCATTTTGACTGTGACATGCTATTTTTGTAACATCTTATGACATAAATGTCAACGCTGATAGTCCACATCAGCAGGTCACCAGTAAAAATGGGTATAAAATCGTAACCGGTATCCACATCATCAAATCAAATGCTACAAGATTAGCAGGTTACTGGTCAAAAATGGGTGTACAATAGGAAATTTTGAAACTTTTGTTGCATTGATTGGGAAAAATAACAATTATTCGTTACACTGAACAGGATGTTGTGCATTTCTGCCATTAGCAAAATTATCTATGGGTTCAAATTCAAAGTTACTAACATCTTTGCTGTATGATTTGATCAGCTTGAACCTGACTGTAAACTTTTTTTCAACAAAATACACAAAGCATTATGCGGAGTGCCCTAGCTTGCCGAGCCACATGAGGGTGCACGTTCGATCCATGGATGAACTTCCGTGCTATACAGAAGGATATACGGAAGGTGAAGATGATATGTTGAGATTCGAAAACTATTCCTGGGATGATGACGAAGAACCCGACATAGCTGTTGGACCCGAAGCAACAATTACAGATGCAACGATTCCGGTTCTCATTTCTGAGGAAGCAACTTGTGTTTTAGATATCAAGGATCATGAACAACCATCCTGCAGTGACAATTCTCCAGGATGCTCGTTCAAGAACACACAGGAGAGGTCCACAAATGACCTACCGCGTGTTTTTGTTTTAGATATCGAGGATCATGAACAATCATCCTACGGTAACGATTCTCCAGGATGGTTGTTCAGGTACACACCGAAGAGGTCCACAAATGACCTACCACCTGTTTTTGTTTTAGATATCGAGGATCATGAACAACCATCCTGCAGTAATGATTCTCCAGGATGGTTGTTCAGGAACACACAAGAGAGGTCAACAAATGACCTACCACCTGTGACTATGGAAGATGAAAACACAAAAATGGATGGTGGTACGGGAAGTTATTCACGTGTGGCTACTGATGTGGATGGACCCGGAACCAAGATTTTGGCTTCAAGTGGCGAGGTTGAGGTGATAGATCTTTTCACTCCATCACCCGTGCTGAGACCAAAGTCGAAAAGTAGGATTTGTCCTGAGATCATCGACTTGACTCAGTCACCCATATATGTGTAGATAATGTTTTCCTATGAAAGCATATGTTTTTTATGCAATTTATTGTTTATTTAGATAAAGAGAACGATTTATATTTGGTTGTTACTTTAACATCCAGTTGGATCCCCAGATAATGAGACGGCAAATACACTTGGATCATGTATTGCATTACAAATATGCATAGAATTTTTTTTTAGTTTTTGTTTGTGTATTTGTACACTTAAGTATTTGGCTCCTGTTGAATAGTCTGTGATTGGTTTGCCTATGCTTATTGACAAGAGATACCATGTTAGCATTTAATGGCCTATCAAAATGAATCATTGGTAAGCGTTGATTACCTGCTAGCCAAGTTTATTCGTTAAGCTATACATGGCTTTTTGATGGTGGCTTAATGATATAAAAAGTGGCTTATTCAGTAACCTTATAAGAGGAGCTTTATGCATAAAGCCAAGTTTTTCTCAAACGTGCCCCTCCCAATTAAAAAACATGATCCTTCTATTTATGAAAAAATCCACTCAAACAAAAACATTCCCTATCCATACAAACATACTAAACAATCCACACATTTTTATCCATTCAGGACGTTATGGAAAACCAACCAAACAACTCCTAGGAGTCTTCTCCCTCATGTACTGGATAAGATTCTTGGTTCATGCCTTGCTCAACCAATAAGATAATGACACCTACTAAGCGCTTGTACCCGCAAGCCTTTGGTAAATGGTCCCCAAGTTTTTGATTTTTCTTTAAAAGTCTGTCTAAGGTTTTGCTTTACCAAAAAGAAAATACAACTGAGAATTAGCCTGTAATGTATAACGAAAAAGACTAGACTTAGGAAAATTGAAGGAACTTGGCTGCTAGTTAGCTATTGAACGAAGTTGCACGTTAGAGAACTAACGGTGATGCGTGTAAGTTTACACCTAAGTTTGTTCTATTTCATCAAAAAGTATCAAGAGGCACGACAGGGCATGTTGATCATGTCGTTCGATCATGGATTCCCCTGCAGAACGGCACTAAATAAACCTGAGTTGATAAAAAAAACATTTGTTCCAATCTTTTTGGAGAACATGCTACATTTGTACCAACAATATAGATCGACCGGACAAGTAATAAAAATATATTATAATAAACAAAAAAATATATATAAGTTCATATCATATATTATAATGAAAATCCGTCAAACTAAAACAACAAAAATGTTTTAATACATCACAATAACATGAAATTCACTTAAACTTGAACAAAATCTCCTAATTAAAGAATAAAAGCTAGCCTAAAACATGTATAATTGGGTTAAAAGTTAAAACATATATAATTGGGTAAATACTATTACATGTATAATTGGGGACCAAAAAATCCATACATCACATTGGAACACCCTTCTACACGACCCTGATCAAAACATTGACATAAAGAGCGAACTCGAGTTCTATGGTTACAACATGTATAGGCGGCAACATAAAATGATTCGGGTATCCATTCAAAGCCTTAATGGCTAAATGAAAAGGGTTGGGTCGAGTCATTTCCTTTGTCCATCTTTTGGATGAAAAGTGTTACCTCCGACAAACGACAGGGGCCAAATTTGTAGTTTCCTCTAGAAACTACTAGAGTATTACAATGAAAGTGAACTACAAATTTGGTCCTTAGGTTCGTCAAAAATAACCTTTTTTTTATCTTTACAGTTTCAAAATTATAAGATGATTATCATGGTTTGCAAAAAATATTCCAATTTGGTCCCTCCTTTCAATAGCCGTTAAAGAATCCCGTTAAATTAAGGGCATTTTCGTCCTTTTATCAATTTTTTTACTTTTACTCAATCAAAAACCACAAGGATCAGATTATAGTTATTTATAAAATTTGGATGCATATATATATGTATATATATATATATATGTATGTATATGCACACCAATTTTACTTATGATGCAAATATTAAACTCGGATTTTGTTTATTTATTAATGTGAGGGTAAATTTACGATTTCCCTTATCTAGTTTGTTAATAATTTATATTTTCATACCTGTGATTTAAAAATTGTCATTTTCATCCCTGTGGTTAAAAAATGTCATTTTCATCCTTATGGTTTGCAATTTATTGTTATTTTCATCCCCAGACTAATTCTAACCTTTAAGTACAAGGGACTAAAACAGTAAATAATTGTAAGCCACAAAGACCGAAACAACAATAAACTGTAATAATAAGGACAAAAGTAGCAATGAATTATAAATCATAGGGATGAAAATTGCAATATATAAACCAAAGGGACAGAAATCACAATTTTTTGCAAACCACAGGGACAAAAAACGTAATTTACTCTTAATGGATTATAGATGCTTTTGATGTTATCATCACGTGATCCTGTGAATCTGCATTATGCATGACCAAGCAAATGTAGGAAACTTTTTTTTTTCCAAATCACGAGTAAGTACAAGATGTGAAAGACAAGAAATCCAGCACATTTTGAGTTGTCAAATGCAAGATCAATAACTTTTGATCCTACCCAAAAAAGGACACCAACTCACTCAACTAAGTTTGATTGTTGAACAAACCCCCTCTATATTATCACACAAAAGTAGAGTCTGGAAGGTAAGATGTATGCAATATAGACATTATCTATATAAAAGACATATAATGACACTGGTGATAGGTTGCACAACCATTTTTTCTACTTAGGGCAGCACATACCAAATTAAAGCAGATGCACCTTTAAGACCCCTAATAAAAATTTTCCATTGCATTGGGACGATAGAGGGGGGAGAGAGGGGAAGAGGGG